TATGTTGATTATGTCAAGCAGTGGAATGTCCTTAGGACAATGGAAATCTCAGAACATCTCATTGTCCTTATGCAAAACATATGCAAAGAAAAGGAAACCACAATAAGATGTAACATGATGAAACTGATTGGTTCCAAGTTGGCAAACGGGTGAGACAAGACAGTATACCCTCACATTTATTCAGCCTATATGCTAATATATATTGAGAAAAGCTAGATTGGAAGAGTATAAGTGCCGTTTAAAACTGGAAGAAGAAACATCAAACATCAAGTGCTCTGACAGCTGAAAGTAAAAATGATCTGGAAGCTCTAGTAATAAAAGTCAAGGAGCACAGTAAAAAAATGCAACTGTGATGAAATATAATGAAGACCAAACTAATGACAAAAAGTGCAGCAACCAGCATTACAGTGGTTGAAAACACTGAAGTGATAGATAGCTTCTCCATTCTAGGATAAACTATCAGCAGTAAAGACACTGTAGTTGAGAAATTTCTCACAGACTAGCAACTGGTAAGAAAGCAACAAAGGCCTTCAAAAAGATATTCAGATACAGTGACATTTCTATACCTAGAAAGAGCAGAATCATGCAGGCAATGTTTTTCCCTGTGACTTTAGAACTTTGGTGTTGGAGAAAATTCTTTAGAATACCATAGACAGCCAAGGAAACAAACACATGGTTCAAAGAAGAAATCCAGAATTCCCACTCAAGGCACAAATGACCAGGCTAAAATTATCATATTTTAGACATATTATAAAAAAATCCAGCTGCCTGAGGGTCCAAAATGATGAGAAAGGTGGAAAGAAAGAGGACAATCAGCAGCAAGATATTTTTGATTATACCAGCAATGATTGCAGTGTTTGGAGACCTGAAGGACTAGGCTGGGAATAGATCACCCTGGCGAAGGTCTATCTATATGATCACATCAAGTCAATGCTGACTTGATGGCACACGATCAATTTATGATTTTTTCAATATTGTCCAGAATATGAGTGTTTCCAAATTTTACTATGATGAGTTATAATGAAAAACACCATTTGCATCTCTCCCTCTCTGAATATCTATGTGTATGCTCTGCTTTAGTGTATGCATAGTGTTTTACATAATTTTTTCACTATTCAGTTCTTAGAACAAGTGGTGAAGATAGGTTTATTGATGGCTTAATGAAGGCCATCTAAGTGGTTATGGAAAACAGATTTAAAATAAGGACCTCCTAAATATAACTATATAAACCAAATATCATAATTACAACATCATATGAAACAAGGTCAGGTTTCATAAAAATATGAATCCTTTTATCATACATATTTTGAAGCATAAACTTTGTCCCAAACATAGTTAAGTCATGTTCTAATTTGAACTGGTGCTTATCAGAGACCCTTCTTCAGATTATAGAGAAGCCAAACATTTTCCACCACAAGTGCAGTTAACAAACATAGCAAAACATGCATACAATATAAAATCTACTTTCAAGTGAAATGGCTATCCTAAGATGAACTTTTAGAGTGACATAATGATATAACAGATTCACAGAGTATCACCCCAAAGTATTTCCAGCTTAATGAAGGGACCTTCATAGGTTGCTCTGCTACCTCTTAATGCTACCTAACACTGTACTCTACTGTATTCCAGATATTAACAGCATGAAGTATCATGCTCGTGTCTGAGTAGTACATAATTTTTTTTGAATCTCCTGCCTTCACCCACATGTGAGTGAAATATTGAAGCTTAAAACATATTAAAGTGATAGGCAAATGACATGTTAATTAGTTATTTGAATTAGCAAAATATCAGTTTGTGATGATTCACCAATGATAACAGAGGAGTTACAGAGAACCATACATGCCATGACTTTTACAAATACTACAGAACATTATACCACTGTGAATATGTACTATGTTGGAGGACTGGCATTCTAAAGACATGACATGAATGCTTGCCAGCTGCCTGGTTCTCTGAAGGAGACCTCTGAGACTATCTAAGAAAGAAATCAGTTCATACTCTCAAATGGGCATGTTCTCTGAAACACAGGAAAAGCAATTTTATCAACTTAAAACCTACAGTTCAAGCAATCTAGTAACTTTTCCCAATCTAGTGTCCTCTAGAAGGTTTGTATTTCAGCCTTAACAATCCCCAGCCAGCATGTTGAAGTCCAACTAATTTGAAAAGCACCGAGTTGGGGGAAAAATGCATTACAGCAATCCAAGATAAATGAAGACTTGTACTGTTTTAACTGTGCTTTACTTCTATTCCATGGCAACTAATATTACAAAAATAGTTACTGCATAGTTTATTTAAGAACATTTGGATAATGGTATTCTGTATCCATGAAAGCATTGAGAAATCGGACAAGAAATGCCAACATAAAACTTTAAGGAATCATACAATGGAATGCTTGCTTGTTTAAGAGCCCATAGGGAGTATTTAGTGTAGATTTCAATTAATAAATCAAATAAAATTCAAGTTCAGGTTTGTTCTAATTCAGTGATTTCATTTTTTTCCTTACTTTTTTCCCTGATATTTGAAATGCCATTACTTATTATATTTTTTACTAATTTCTGTGCATTTGGGAAAGTGGAAGGTTTAGAGTACCTTTCAGCCATAGATTTAAATATCCCAGTGAAATTAATAGTGTTTAAAATTAAAAATGGTTCACTTTCTAAAAATAAGAACATTGGAATACTTAAAAGAGAATAAAAGCAAGCTGCAAAACATACACAGGCGTCTGAATAAATGTTTCTAATATTTTTCATTCTTAGTGGAAAAGTCAGAAGCTTGCAGTAGTCAACTTTTACAATGGGAAAATTAAAACCACACCCCCCAATCCCAGCCTAACTAGCAAGAATTTTAAAAACTCAGAATCTTTTAAGAATTCAAAGCTGAATACTGTACATCTAACATTTGACAGTTTATTACCTTTTTCATAATCACAGATTCCTTCTAATAATAATAAATTACAAAATGCATCAGTGAAGCAATGCTTTACATTTGGCTTAGATTGGCTGTAAAGAATATCAAAGCATTCTTCTATCATGAAGCGTCCAAAAAGCATAGTGGTCTCTAGACTGCATTATCTAACCTTAGGAGTTATCTTTCAATATCTAAGTTCACACCATAAAACATTGTCCTCCATAATAAATTCTCCTTTACCTTTCATTGACCCTATATCACCTACTTTCCTTTTTTAAAAAAGCCCTAAGCTTTCTTGTTTCCCACTGTAGCTTTGTGGTTTCTCTTCTTGGATTTTACTATGAGGATAAGAAGAAGTTTCTATGAAATTGATACAAATCTTTTAAAATCATCTTGGAAATGAATCTGAACAACCCATGAGCTAAATGTTAGATTCTTTGATTCTTCTCATCACTGAATGTATAAGTTGGATGGGAACTGACAGGTAATCTAGTCCAACCCTCATTCATTTCAGGAATCTACTAAATCATCCCTGAGAGGAGGCTGGGGGACAATTTTTATAGACAGACAGTTGCACTGCTTAATTGTTCTTACTTTCAGGAAGTTGCTCCTAATACTTTCTGACCAGATGAAAAGTTGTATGGCTTTAGTGTAGGTAGGGCAGCTCCTTAACATTAGAAAACAGCAAAAAGTGAAAGCTCTATTTCAATTCTTGCTTGTATAAAGCCCCAAAGAGCTGTTGGTGAATTAATAAATTAATTAATAAATTAATAGGTATTCAGATTTAACTTAGTATTTGTTGATAAACTAAAGCAAATTGAGATGTTTCAAAACTACAACCTTCAGGCTGCTATATTAACATAAAATAATCTATATTCACTATAGGCAATTTTTCATGAACATTCATAGAAAATTATTTAAATTTGATTTTTTTCTGTCACTCAGTACTAGCAATTGTCCAATAAAGAATACAATTGTGTCACTGACTGGTTTAAAGCAAACTCCCATATATGGTTTATATGTATCATGAAAAACTGCAGTTTATTTCATTTTCATTTTATTATGTGAGTCACACTGTTCTTCCACATGAATTACAAGATAAAATAACTATTTCCCTTATGGATGGAGATTTTTCAAATTCCATGTTAGGGGGAGAACACAAAGATCATAAGCAACTAAAGATAATGAAAAGCAGATACAGCTTCTAAATTGTAGGTTATAGTCAATAATTTGTTATTTTCTTCCGTTAGAGGGTATTGAAGAATATTGGTTCCCTACAATGAAGAAATGGGTTTGATAAATTATAAGAAGTACTGCATTCTAACTAGGTTATTATTCAATAAATCTTTACAAAAATTCTAAATAAGGAAAAAAACTGAGGAAGTACATTCTATTTAAAACAAGTCCCATTACGTTAAAGGGGGATTATTTTTAATAATTGTATCTATGCCTTTGAACTGCATTAGAAAATACCTGAATAAAAAAATTAGTGAAATAGACACAAGGGATTATTTTTTAATTTCGAGCTTTAACAATTGCTGAAATTTCATCCATTTGATTTTAATGGGATATGTGTGAAGAAACAAGATGCTCATATTGAAAGAATGAGGGGAAAAATGAGTGTTTGTCACAAATTAAACATTACCTAGGAAGATCTTTTAATTCACATATTTTTCACAGAGACTGGTTTCCCCCTGGTTTTGTTCTGTTCTTCCTCTCAATGTTATTTTTCTATCATGTATGCAACTATCAAAATAACTGCGTAACATCTACTGAATACATTTGCTGAGAAGACATAATGCAAAACAGTGATTTTTTTTTTACTCCCCCCCTCGGAATATATAAACCAGCTGTTGTAAACTATAGAAGCTTATGAAGGTAAATCTATCCTTAGTTGATCAGCAGTGGATACATTTATTTTTGAAATTATAATATACCGTGAGAATATTCTGTCTCTAAATACATATGTATTCTTGATTTAAAAAGAGGAATCTTTGGAGTGTAATTTATATTACTGTTTACAACTCAAAAGAGGATTAGCACTGAAACCATAACTTAAAGAGAATTTAAATATTGATTGAACTGGCCAGCACCATGGAAAGGGGAGATGTTACCACTTGTTTATTTGTATCTTTAACTTCCTTCTTTCCATCCTACCTTGGTGTTACAACACTGATTGTCATAATAGTCTTTGTGCTTTTGCATAATGCCCATCTTTGATGCAACAGAAATTCACATACAAAACATGGACATCTGAAGTAAGCATGCTGAAATACAGGCAGGAACCATAAAACCATGCACAAATATTCTCAGGGTTTGTTTTTTTTTCCCCAACAAAACTGACATAAACATTTACATGCACCACCTAATATCACATTTGGCCATGGAATAGAGGGGATGGGATTCATGACCATTCCTCTTTGTCAGTGTTTTTCTTTTCGCCCCTTGTCATTTAACAGTTCTGAGGAATTTGGTGCAAAAATATAATATATCTGTATCCATTTGTCCTTCCAATTTGAACTTGTATTCGGCGAATTTCTAGTCAGTTTTCTGAAAGTTCCCACTGTGCTTCTCCTCTTGCACAACTTGTACTAGGTCTTTGCCAGAAACACTGATTAGTGTGCAAGCGTTTTTCTCAGCCACTGAAATAATTCTTCTTTATAAATCATTTGCCACCGGACATTTGCTTCCACTGTTTCCACAGCTCGAGAGAAAGAGGCAACAGATCTCTCCTCATAATTCTTTACAAAGTTCTTTAGCTGGAAATAGAACATAGTGGTTAATTCAGAGTGAACTGAAATAAAAAAATGAAGTTCATAGAATTTACAAACTAAAGACAAAAGCTCTGTGTTCATTACTGAAGTATTTTGTAGATTAAAAGGTATAATAAAGCAACAAACTGCAACTGCTTGAAATGGTGTTGCAAAATATTGATGTGCCAATGCCTGATTATATTAACATCACTTCCTCTGTCTCCCTTGTAGTCCATCTGCTTTATGGTGTAGACAGCTGGGCTCTTATCAGATTTTACATAGGTATCCAAGCAGGCAAAAATTGGAAACACTCCTAATGTAGTTTTGGATCATGTTAAGCTAAAACATTTGCATTCTTCCCTGAAGAGCTTTTGCTTATTAAATATTGTAAAATATGTTTAATTAGGGTTGAGGAACTTTTTAAACATTTTTATCATAAAAGAATAAGAGTTTATTTACATGTTGGAGGGGCTGTTCAAGCACTATAGAGACCATAACTGACCTTGGATTGAATATCTTATATTTACAATTATTCTGCTAATAGTAGGTTTACGATAAATTTAGTTAAAATAGCATGAAGCTAGATCGTCACCTTCTTTCTCTCTCTCTCAATATAAAATAGACTGTCTTTTTCTTAAATGTGAATGCACCATTCAGGAAATACATCATTTATAGGAGACAAAATACATACATGTTACAGGACAAGCTGTATAAACTTGTTCTTTTTAGGTAACCAAGATTAACACATGATGAAGAAAGTGAAAAAGAATAAAAAATAACTGCAAGTACTGAACTCGCATAATATTTACCTCATTCAGTTCACTCTCTGTATTAAGAAATTCTGTGACTCCACTTATCAGTTTTGAATTCATAAATAACGCTTCTCCGTATCTTCATCGGCAGATTAAAAATACAAATATAGAGCATTCTAAGTGGCAATGACTTTAGAATCATATATTATAAAGAATATTTCTATTACAGTTATGCAACCAATTAAAGTTTCTATCCCACAACTTCTGGAAATATTACCTCCTGTGGTCTATGATGTTCAGTATCAACCATATTGCACTGAAGCTCCATTGGTAGGAGTAAAAGTAGTCATATTGTTAAGAAAGCTACATGGATGTGTTCATGTAATCATTAGGAATCAGGAGTGTTTTGCCTACTACCAATTTATAGAAGAGGACAACACTTACTGTTCTGGAATGGCTTTGTGATCTTTGGTTGGTTCATTGAAATGATAAACAACTAGCTAATATGTCTTTATTCTAAACAGAACACATAAGCCTTCACTAGTGAATGTTTATAATCTCCTAATAAATAATGCAATGATTCTTTCCTCCCCCATGTGAAACTAATAGGAAACTGTTTTATAATGAATTAGATCCTTTTTAAACTTTTAACTAGCAGAGCAGTAGGGAGACTGAACTAAATATAAATGATGTATAAATGGTATATAAATGATGCATTCTACCTTTGAGCTACACTTTTTTTTTAAAGGGCTTTTATTACATCATTTAATGGTAATTATTCCAGGGATGATTCAGGCATAACAGAGTCCTACCCCCACCCCACCTCTCCTAAAAAGAGCAAGCTAGACTATTATAGAGAATGTTTATTATTTTTACCTCATATTATCTGTACTTTAAGGTTTCTAATTCTAGATTCAGGTTTAAATGCCCTATATATCACCTGAATATTAACATCTGTTTTGGATTTTGTTACTGTTCTTTTGTTTTGTTTTACTATTCTTGTTAAAATATTTGATTTGTAATTTTTTGACCATCTGGCTATCAGAATTCTACAGAAAAAAACAGATAGTGTAATGTAGAGGAACTTACAAAATCAATCTCTTCTAGGTTCCCTAAATATTACAACAGCTAAAATAATTTTGCAAAATGCTTGACAGCAATAGTTAGGTCAGCAAAGAAGGAATATTGTTAGTTTTCAACATTAACAATGATTTTGACAACTCATAGATTTTTTAGGGTAAAATAAAGCATGATGATATAAGAAATAATAATTCAGATGATTTTCCAAATCATGTATGAAAGGTTAAGAATAAGGCATTGTCAACTTAAGGCATGCATAGTTCCTTCTAAACTTCTTCCTTTTTTGTATATAAGAAAAGGAAATAAGAAGTGCTCGGATTCTAGTTTGTAATGTGGCAAGATATGCTTACACAAATTATACTTGAAAATAAGGTTTTGGTATGGTGATTGGATGTCATATATAAAAGCAGGCAATAATCCATTGGCAATAAATTTACATAAAATGAATAAATTCTGTACAAAAAAAATTCTTACAGATAATATTCTCCCCCTAAACTTTAGATTTTTATAAATAGGCCATATAAACATTATTAATAATAATAATTTCAATGTATTTTAAGCATTGGCAATATAGAAATAAGCTTATTTTTGGTAACATTTCAGTTCTTCTTTTCTACTTAAACAGTTATAGATCCTCTAGTACCAGACAAGATTTATTATAACATCACAAACTTGCCTATAAAAATAACTGAGCTTTAAAAACAAATTCTAAATATCTGTATTTATACTATGCGCATAACCATTCATCAGTTTCTCTTCAAATTAAATTTCAACTCTCTGTGTTGCATCAGAAGACAGAAGGAAAAGTAGATTTGGAGCAGGGTGCAATTAGCTATCCCATACATGAGTAATACTGCAGGAAGTAAGAGAC